CTTTCGGAACACAAAACAAGGCCATATTCGTCTTCGGACAGAGGACATGATAATTTTCATCACGTGCCTAAGCGGGTCTGGGGCCCTAGTAGGAGAAGTGGTGCTGCTGTAATGCGCTAGCCGCCCCTCGGGGGATCGCGCGATGGTCAGGGGGATGTCGTCCGCGGGCGTGGTCGATGGTTCTAGGCGCGCTCCGTGCTGCTGGCCTACCTCGTACTCTTCGCTCTCTCGCATGACTTTTATCTAATCCTCTCCTGCTTTCACCTCGCAGCTGACGTCCGGGCTCCTGTTGACTTCTTCAGCTTCAAACCGCGCGCTCTTGTCGACGCTGCGGGAGCTATCTTGTTCTTAGTTCCTGGCGTCCTCCGCTGCTTGGCGGGCCTCCGCTGCTTGGCGGGCCTCATCTTCGCGCCTGGTAGCCATCTTGACCCTGCTCTCGATCGCCGCAAAGCGATACTCCTAAACCAAGCTCGACCGCTAATCTCGTAGACGACGTGTCATATGCTAGCGTGTTCGATTATTCGGGTGGCTCAGTTGTGTGCGATGGGAGTGTAGAGCAGCTCGGCCATTACGGGCCGTAGGGGTAGGTGGCGTCGTGCAGACGCGTTGGAAAACGTGTTGTATAACGTGTTGTATCCGTGTTGTTGCAATCGGGGGCGTGCTTGAGCTCGTCATTCCATCACGGCATCAAGTCACGCATAACGCTCTAACACCCAAACAAAACGAATCTCCATGAATGTCCACCAATCTACCACACTCCCAAGGAAAACATAAAGAAACTTCTTGTTCCTCCGTAGTTCGTCACTGCAAATCCCGCATATGTATACGCAACCACCCGCATGCTATGCTACGAGTATATCGAATAGCCCCCGCATATACTACATGCACTATTTCTCCTTTGGCGAGGAAATCCTACTACTGCCGAGTGCTTGCTGGTCTACGTACGGTACATACACCTGGTTACGCACCAGTACAGCCAAACACTCCTAGATGAGATAACCTGGAACGCGCTCTGCCCATTGTTTGCATAGGAGCGGACCCCAGTCTAGCTTTCTTTCCTCTCCCGAAAAATTGAGCGGGACAGGAGATTGACGGGAGGGGAGAGGCAGAGGGCGGGTTCCGCGCTAAAGCTCAATATTTGGGGGGGGGGGTTCCGTAAATTCCTTCCGAGGACCCCCTAAGCCTCGAAATGTTTTTGGCATGGTCCTGTGATGAAGTTAGGATGTTGTGCAAAATTTGAGACAAAAGTTCGTTCATCTTGCCCGGGTTTCAATCAATACTAGTATATTCCGGTGGCTAAGAATCGGAACGCAGAACCCGGGGATGGGGCCAAAACATCCCCGGTTTTGAAAATGGCTCTGATGAATCTGAAAATTTCAGATCAAGGTAATTTTGGGGTGGGGATCACGAATCCGGGATCAGATGTTTTGTTCTCGCATTAGGTGAGGAGTTATAGGGATGCAAGCGTCATCATCGTCATGCCGCCGCCGCGAAAAAAAAAACTCAACTCAAACAACATACTTTAGTGCCCGCAGGCACATGTTCATGCACAAAATCCCCCACGATTCGAAACACACCTACCCTACACGATGCCCTGTTCTCTACAACACCTCTTTTCAAGAACTGTCGCAGAAAGATTCCCCAAATTGCGTACCCGTGACCCTCTGCAACAAACAAACGCTGCTCTTCTTGCGGAACTTAATTTCCTTTTTTTTCTTTCGACCATCGACCTCACCATCCAACCCAACGGGATCTACGCCGGTATCTATGATAACCTTCTCCTGAACTACGCTCAATTGGAGCTTCGGGACAAGAGTCGGGTACTTGGCGAACACGAAACACTTATCGTAATCGCGCACTTGGCAGGCTGAGCAAAAACACGACGCCGGAGAGGTGTACACCTCGTGGTCGGCAATACGCTTCTCAAGACGAACTGTCTCTAACCCTGACACAGCACCCTCGTCCCCCATCTCCTCCTCCTCTTCCTCCTCTTCCTCCTCTTCGGATGATTCCGCCCCTCCCGCATGCTTCCACCCCGCGTACTCTTCATCCGCTCCTTCCAGAGCTGCCTCTACTTCCGGCTCGGATTCGTCTTCGTTGCCGGACGACGACTGATCCTATCCCTGATCTACCAGCGTAACGTTCTTCACCCGCGAGCGACCGGAACGCCTGCACACCCCCACCAACCCCCCCGTGAAATCAGAAGGATCTTCCTCTTCGCTGGACGACGACTCATCCCATCCCTGATCAATCAATGTCACGTTCTCCACCCGCGTGCGACCGGAACGCCTGGACCCCGCCCCCCGCCCCCCCGACTCTTGTTGTTGTTGTTCTTCTTCCTCCTCCTCCTCCTCCTCCTCCTCTTGCTCGACGTCACCCGAGCGCACGAGCATCTGGCTCCTCGTCCGCTTCCGATTGGTTCGCCTGCCCCCCCCCCCATCCCCCGCCTCGTCTTCTTCAGCCTCGTCCCCACCCCCGTCGCCCTCCACCTCCCCACCATCCTTCCTCTCCCACGCGTTGCTCCATGGTACATACTCCTTTACCGCTACGACGGTGAGCCCCGTCCCCTTCACCACTCCTTCGCCCACTCCCATCGCTAGCGCCCAATCCCTTTTCACGACGTCCGGAACGTCTACGTTTCTCCCAAGTCTGGTAGCGGTGGAGGCGTCTGATGTGGGCGTGTTGGCCCCGATGAAGACGTAGTTGTCTCGAGTACCGGTGATGCCCACAAGATCCCGCTTTGGTCTGTAGATTGCGGTTGGTCCGATGAGCTTTGTGTGCACGCGTCGGATACGATACGCCGACCATCTAGCGAAGTATTCGGAGAGGCTCTTCTTGCTGATGTCGGCAAAGTAGTTGCTCACGAACTCCACTACACCCTTCGCGCCGGTGATTACCCTGCCGAGTTGCTCCGACTTCTTCATGGCATTCTTCTCAACGCCGCCGATGCCATCGTGGCAACCTTTGAAATGAGAGGTTGCCGCGAAGTGGTGCTCCACGATGAAGCCGAGCTCCCGCACACTGTTGGACAAGAAGCGGAAGTTGCGCCTGCCCTTGTACTGTTTGGCGCAGCCGTCCGTGAACATGAGCATTCGAGGCACCCGGTTGTCCTCCCTAGCAGATGCAGTAGCTGCAGACCCCTCACCATCCAAGTAGTAGTCAGCTATTTTTTTTAGGGCATGGAGATGAAAGTCGAAGTCGTGGGCAGGGTCCGCGGAAGCAAACACCCATGTCTCGCTCAGGTGTACCCTGCCGCCGCCCTCCCACTCTTGTGGGCAGAAGTGCACGATGGCCACCATGAGGGTAGTGGTGTCGTGCCTCGCGCAGGTTAGGACTTTTGAGGGTTCGTGAGTGTACTTCTCGATGAAGTCCGTCTCGATGACTATGTCGCCGTCCCTAAACGTTCGCAAGCAGGTGTTGTGGCAGTTTCTCTGCCACTTGGCCTTTGAGTGATGCGCCATGTACACCTTGCTGTGCTTTGGCAAGCGAGGGCGTCCGAGAAAGTCCCCAAGTGCTGCCAGTGCCCCTTCCATATCGCGTCGCCATCCTCGACGCTACACCATCGGCAGTCGCATACCGGGCGGTCCACCAGTGTCATGTTCTTCAGCGCCTCAAGGTAGAAGGTTTGCTGCGTGTGGATCTTGCACGCGCACTGGTCTGTCTTCGGCGCCGTCAGACACTTGCACCGTGTCGAGAGAAACCGGGTGCGCCCGTGGTCCTTGATGTCCTCGCCTTTCTCTGACCTCCAGATACGCTTGAAGTTGTTGAACTCCGGCGACTCTAGGAACTTGGAGAATACCGTCTCGCCCCCTCCCTCTACCATGAGCTGCCGGCGAGGGTGTGTGCTTGCAGTTGGACTCTTGGACTCCCGGAAGATGTGAGCAGAGTTTCCCGTCAGGCGCGATACCGCATCGTTGTGCCAGAAGTCCTTCATGAGCTCCACTAGCTCTGGTGGGGTGGCGTCGCTCCTCTTACGTCGGGAGCGGTACCAGTACGCTCCTGCCTCCAGCGCTGCTGCAGGGGGTACGCGGGGCTGTAGCGACTTCGCCCGCTGCCGCGCACGCGAAAATTCGGCCGGGTCAACGCCGAGTATCTCGGCCTTGCGGTAGCCTGGCAACGTGGATGCCCCCTCGTCCCCATCGTAGGCATGAGCAGTGAGAATTGTCTGATAGGTTTGCCTCCCCATGTTGGTTCGGCCGAACACTGCTGCGTCCTTGAGAGCTGCCCGCGATGCCGCTTGGAACTGCCGCGCGTCCGCCAGCTCCTGGTGTATCTCCTGCGCCGCCGGTACTCCGTTGTCGATCAGACTCTGCAACAGAGTTTCGGCATTCATGGCTTTCATCGCGTTCAAAAATGGGGCAGCTGTGTCCCTCCAGTCGGACGGCGGCTGTAAGTTGGCGGCAACACAGCAGGTTTGGGGATGGGGGGCAGGTACAGTGTGTCGGCGGCAGAGTCGAAGGGAAGCCCAACTGCATGCAGCTCTTCAAGATATATACAATCAGCGGTTGCAGGTTGATTTAACGGTGAGCACAACAGTATAAAGCGTAATGCAGGAGAGTTCAGGTAGCGGCACATGTATGGCACACACACATCATTCGGCAGTTTATACAAATAGCAGCAGCAGCAGCAACAACAACACTAGACTACATGATCACACCGTAGACTGAAGGTAAATTTATACTCAAAAACATTCAAACTGTGTCTCACGTCTGGGTCAGCAGCTGGCCCACTGCTGCCGGTCAAAGTACGAGTCGTCGTGCCGATGGCCGCGAGGACGGGGCAGCTCATTGAGGTGTNTCCATCGATGGCGCACTGTGTGTTCGTCCGATCCGGCATACATGATGCGGTGGCACTCGCCCCCTCCAGTAACAGCTGGGCCTTGCGGCCCAGCCTGAGACTGACTCATCCTAGGGCGCTTCCGCCCGTGGGTATAGGTGTGACCAACTATCTGAGTGGCTCTACCCCCCCTAAATCGGCCAAGCGGAAGCGATTGGCGCGGTGCTCCAAAAGAAAAAAGATCGGGAATGCGGCGAAAAAAAACAAAATCGACGCGAAGATGAACTTTTTTTTTTGGAACCTTTTTTTAAACCCCTTTTTTGGGCGTTTCGGCGTTTCAGAACGACTCCCGAAGTCGTTTTTTTTTCTTTTTATTGGCGGGCGGAGAAGACATTGAGCTTCAGCGCGGAACCCGCCAGAGGGCGTATAATGTGTTTGTTTCCTTCCGTCTGAACATGGAATAGAACTACTATTGTTCTTGTGGTGAACGAGTGCATGGAGGGGGTAAAACACCTGTCGATGGGCCCGACCAGGTGACAGGATGTGACAATGAAACCCCCCCCCCCCCAAGCAACCAACCAATCAAAGGAACAAAGTGTCGCCTGCGGTGAACTTGGGCCGTTGACGGGGCTGGTTCTCATTCTCATAGACGATGGCCCCCCACACGCCTTGGATGTCGAAGAACGTATACTGGTGTGTTTGAGCTACTGCGGTAGGAGGGGTGTTGGAAGAATGCGGTATGTGCAACGAGGACGGCGACTTGCCTCTTGGGTGCTGCCACCTGTGCAACGTGAAGAGGGACGGGCAGTCCCACAACTTGTCAACTTGTCAACGTTCAACGTAGACCTATGCAGCCGCGTAGATGCATACCCCACCACCGAACCATGTACTGCATAAGACCAGGGGCAGCGATTGTGGCAGTTGACATGCGGCCCCGAAACCCTGCTTCACATGCGGTCCGAAACAATCACTGCTCATTGATCGATTCAAAGCAACCACACAAAGCCCCGAGAATAACCACGCGCATGGGAGCCAGACCAAAGAAAGGCCGGCATATATGCGATGTAGAAATATTCTGAACATGCTGATGAACGAGAGCAACGATTTCATTGTTGCTGTCCGTGCACATTTTAGGGAATGAGTGACGCGTACGGGGGTCCAACACTAACAGACAGAGAGACCGTATACCTCCGAGATACCCGCTGTGGTGCATGAAAACAGCAGCCTGAGGAATACAAACCATCACGGTGGCAACGATGGAAAGCCCCGCTCACCCGCAAGAAAAAAATACATGATGCAACCGGACGGACCCTCTTTGTCTGTTCAACCGCCCCGTTCGGGGTGCGGCACAGACAACGCCCACTTGTCGACCACGGGAGGCGGAAGCTTCTCACACTCGGGGAGGGGTGATGATCTGCGATTCCCCACCGAACTGTACTCGAGACTCCGTGAGATTTGCATTGTAGCTCGAGATCAGCATTTCGGGCCGGGTCGGGCAAGAGGTGGGGGAGTCGAATGAAACATGGATATTGGTCTGAGAAGCTGAAGCTGAAGCTTCAGAACTCGGGCAAAGTCCGGCGAACTGGAGGACAGGAAGTTCATCCACCGACCGGCAAACGGTGTACTTGATGGGAAACGACATTAATTAGATGGTGTGGAAAATCCGAAACAAAAATAAGTACAATTGATTGCGTATTGATGGGCAGTGGGCGCATGTCACAAGGCACAGGACTATAACACTGGCAAAGCCCGGATCTCACAGCATCGCCTCTCTCGATTACGGAACAAAACTACTGCTGCTGTTTGTAGGTTCATACGTCCTTGAGACAGACGACATACGCATTACAGCCAAGCACTGCGAATGAGGTATCGCCCCGAAGAAGAACAAGAAAAATCTTCAGCGCCGTCCTCGACCAAACACTCCCAGACAGAGTTTCTTTGCATTCGTCCCCATCTCCCTCTCTCTCTTTCTACAGAGTCGATGCCCCCACGCGACGACACATTACAAGCCGCCATCCTGGGGTTAATACATACAGCAGTATTGTAGCCCCGATATAAGAGGATGGTCAATGACCCTTAATCCTCTTATATCGGAGCCCCCCTTTATAAGGTACACTCTTGTAGCGGAGCCAAGACTACTTGTCTATCCGATCCTAGGTGGCTTCATCTTCACTTCCAGCACCATCGACAAGCAACGGTACTGGACGTTGAGGGTTCTCGGGGGTTCTGTCGGAGGAGAGGTTAGCCAGTCCTCACGCAGACGACACCTTTGACGAGCGAGCAGTACGATCGCAGTGTCTACTCCCTCTTTGGCATCACTCCTCCTCTTTCGCGACCAGTGCTACTACTCATGGCGATGGATACTGACGGGACATACCTCCTTCGAGGTGGGCACCCCTCTAACCACCTGGCCTGACGCTGTGACGACGGCGCAAGAGCAACCAAAAGGAGAGATGAGTGTCGTTGGTGGCGCCTCCGTAGGCAAATCGCCCCCCACCCTCGCCCGGTGGAACGGCATTTTCCATGATCACCTCCACCGCCGTATTTCCTTTGATCACCTCCACCGCCGCTATGCTGCATCTACTTGTTTGGAAAATATACATAAAATCAATTAAAGACTTGCCTTTCGAGATAATGTATCACACGCAGCAGTGATATCGTCTTCATCATAAGAGGGTTACCCGGCGCAGCCGCCACTACAAAAAATAGCCGTTTCACCTACCGAACCGAAACCGACCAAAACCACCGGTATTCTCCCTGCTCGTGCCGCTACTGCACTATTTCTCTTCTCGTGAATAGCAAAGGCAGGAGGGACTATGTTGAAATGCCTTGACGTGCAAACCTCCAGAGGGTGCCCTTTCTCCCCATGACCGCCTCCCCATCCCACACCACGAACCGCCTTGCCATCCTTCGTGCCTCGCGGGAGTGGAAAAACCTGAGTCGTGCGACCAACGGGGGAAACGGGGGGGGGGGGG